ACCCCAGCTGCTCTGCTCCCGGCTTCCCCGATTCAGCTGCTGGTCAGTTTCAGCAGCAGCTGAATGGGGGAAGCCTGTCTGGCTGCCCCAGCACTTCCGGGTTCCTGATGGTGCCAGACCATCAGGAGTCCCGGAGCATTGGATGCCGGACTAATGGAGTTTTACTGTATCTATTAATAGGTAGCTGTTAATACTTTTATATTAGATAATGGGAGGAGGAACACTTTTACCTCTAGGTGCTGGTCAGTTTCAGCAGCAGCTGAATGGGGGAAGCCTGTCTGGCTGCCCCAGCACTTCCGGGTTCCTGATGGTGCCAGACCATCAGGAGTCCCGGAGCATTGGATGCCGGACTAATGGAGTTTTACTGTATCTATTAATAGGTAGCTGTTAATACTTTTATATTAGATAATGGGAGGAGGAACACTTTTACCTCTAGGTTAACCAATTCATGTCCATCCTGAGTCAGTAGTAATGGCCAAAAGTAATTACTGTCTGATGTCTGTTCAATAGCGTATAAGAATTAGAGATGCATCTCAAACCAGATCTACATTAGAAATGTCAGTTTGAGAGGATGGTTGTTTGCATTTGGATTGTGTTGACTTTTGTATGCTGGCAAAATTGCTAGGGTCAATGCAATTATATCAACACAAAAATGCATTTACATGTATAGTTTATTTCACTTGGGGAACAAACTAAGCTATTGCAGTAAAAACACTCTTTTGACAGTGAAAGTGGTGTTCACACTAGTGTGGTTTGCTAGTAAAGCTATACTGGAAAACTTTTCTCATATAGGCCTGGTCTATGTGTAGATCCTAGTGCAGGGCTACTTAACACACATGCCTGTGGGCTGCAGCCCATGGTGTGGTTTGGGTTTACGCAGGGCTCAACACGGGGCCCACAGGTGAGATCCTTTGAACATGGCTGCCACTGGGAACATGCTTTGCAACGGCGAGGCATCTCCCAGTTGGGGTGAGCACTGAAAAACGCAAGTGGACAGGCTGGCTGGAACAGATGCGTACCGGGTGTTGGCATTTCTAGCCCCAATTGAGGAGGTGCCGAGAGCACCGTGGCATTGTGGGAAGTGCTGGCTGCTTAGTCTTGTGGGCATCTGACCTACTGTCTCCATGCTGCTACAATGAATACAAGCCTGATGTGAAACAGCTGGTGAAAAGTTTGCAGACACAATCTTCACATTGATTGTACTTATACTTAAGTAAATTCCAGTACTGTATTGGCAGTTTTTATTTGATTTGTTAAAATTGTGAAGTCATAACAAAAAAGTAGTCACTATAATGGTCTTTTGTTGATAAGCGTTTTAGTAGTTAAATTCCTGGACTGTCATTGCTCATTAAAAGTGCTGTCATATGTGTGAAAATTGGGTAAATATTGCACTTTATTTATATCAGCAGAACTGACTTAATTGTGGTCTGCATATTGTGTAGTCTTGCCTTAATTTCTGTATTCATGCCTGTCAGTGTAAAAGAAGCTGTTCGCATATATTTGCATATATATGTAACTGCACATAAGTTGCGGCCCTTAACATATGCTGTAAGTATTATTGTGGCCCTTGGGGTTTCCAGAGTTGAGTACAGCCACTCCCCGAGTTACGACCACCTCCGCTTATGACCATCTGCACTTACGACCAAAATGGTCGTAAATGCGGATCCGAGTTAGGAACGGCGATCTGCGCTTACGAACAGCGCGGTCACCATGTAACTCTATGGGATCCGAGTTATAAACACTTCGAGTTACGTACCAAGTGTTGGTCCGTAACTTGTTTGTAACTCAGGGAGTGGCTGTGGCCTTGTCCTAGTGGATATCTGTCAGCATCAGAAAATCACAGTTGGCACCTTTGTTGGTAGTGTCAGCAAAGAGGATATGAAGAGAATGAGTTTTACAAACTGAACTACCCATAGGTGTGGTCCATAGCGGTCAGGAAGGTGGGTAAGACAGTTGTAAGGAGAGAAGGACATTGCCTCGCTGCTGTCCAGCAGTGAGTCTGTGAATAAAAAAGGTAAGTCCCGTCTTAAACCAATACCTTTCACTGCAATTATACTATTTATAAATTAAAGAAAACCAGGGAGGAAGGTGAAATGGGATATAGGTTAATTTCCCCAAAATGTTTCAGACAGTGTTTGGTCTGATAGGATAATTTTTAAAAGCTTCAGAAGGGTAGCTGCGTTAGTCTGTAACTGGAAAAACTTAAAAAACAAAGAATAGTCCAGCAGCACCTTAGACTTAGAGACTAACAAAACATGTAGATGGTATCTTTCGTGGGCACAACCCACTTCTTCAGATGGAGTTATTTAGAAACTGGATCTTTAATAAATAGTGGGTGGAGGGGAGAGAAGGAAAAAGAAGGGGGGAGGGAGAAAAAGAATAGTCAATTAGAGCTGTGGTCTTCAATCTTTAAAGCATGAGATTACTTTTTTAATTTAAATGCAATCCAGAATCCTCCTCAAACCTAAACACCCTTGCCCTGCTTCCTTCCTGCCCCTCCTCCAAGGCCCAGCCCCTGCTCACTCCATCCTCCCTCCCTCATCCTCACTCACTTTTATCAGGTTAGGGGCAGAAGGTTGCGGTGCAGAGGAGGGGGCTGCAGACTTTGATCTTGGGCTAAAGGCTTTGAATTGTGGGAGGGATTCTGAGCTGAGGTATAGGAGGGAGTTGAGGGTGCTGGCTCTAGCAGTGAGTTTGGGTGCAGGGTGACTCGGGTGGGGCAGGGATCTGAGGTACAGGAGGGAGTTTGGGTACACAGGGATTCAGGGCTAGGGCAGGGCTTTGGGGTTCAAGAGAGGTTCAGGACTGCGGCTGGGGTTTGGAATGCAGGCTCCAGGTGGGTACCTCTTACTACAGGTGACTTCTGAGTGGTGGTGCAGAGGACTAAGGCAGGCTTACCCCTACTCTGGTCCTGTACCATTCCCAAAAGCAGCCAGCAAACTCTCTCCGTCCCTCTCCCCCCTCTGCTCTGTGGAGATGGGGTACAGGGTGGGGGGAGAGGCACCCTGACATCAGCACCCCCTCCTCTTCTTCCCATGCCCTGCACAGCAAGCAAGAGGCTCCCAGAATTGGTGGGGCAGCTCCAAGGCAAAGGACAGGAGCAGTATAGCAGTGCTAAGAGGGGCAGATGAAGAGCCAACATTTGACAGCCTCCCTGCAAAACCTGTCAGGATCACCTGTCAAAGGCTCCAAGATCTACCAGTAGATCCGGATCTACTGGTTGGTGACCACTGAATTAGAGTGGCCATGAAGCGGATAGAGAAGGTACTAAGTGTTCTTAAGTGCCCATTGTTTGTTTGTTATGTCATTAGGATGTGGGATGTAGTGAACCATCCACCCAATGTCTTTGTTCATACTTCTGTTGAAGGAATCAAACTTATAAATGAAGTTGAGCTCTGAGGCCTCCCTGTGGAGTTGGCATGTGAAATTGGCCTGAAACAATACAGTGACATTGAGATCCTTTACAACTATTCATTGTATTT